CGCCGTCCCCTAGCGCGCCCGTCGGCCTCTAGCACGTCCGCCAGCCCCTAGTGTGCCCGCCGTTCCCCTCGCGCCCTAGCCGGCCCCTCACGCCCTAGCCGGCCTCTCGCGCCCTAGACCGGCCCCTCGCGCCCTAGCCGGCCTCTCGCTCCCTCGCCGGCCCCTCGTGCCCTAGACCGGCCCCTCGCGCCCTAGACCGGCCCCTCGCGCCCTAGCCGGCCCCTCACGCCCTAACCGGCCCCTCGCGCCCTAGCCGGCCCCTCGCGCCCTAGCCGGCCCCTCGCGCCCTCGCCGCCCCCCCCCCGCGCCTTCGTCGGCACCTCGCACCCTAGCCGGCCCCCAGCGCCTTCGTCGGCCCCTCACGCCCTAGCCGGCCCCTCGCGCCCTAGCTGGCCCCTCGCGCCCTAGCCGGCCCCTAGCGCCCTAGCCGGCCCCTCGCGCCCAAGCCGGTCCCTTCTGGCACTGTCGCCGGCCCCTCTACCTCCTCGCCGATGCCTACCACCTGCCGGCCTCTAGTCATCCGCCGGCCTCTTCCCGAGTACCTGCCAGCCTGCCCTGTCCGCTTCACCCTTTCTTCTCCCTGAGAGTTCTGTGGAGCTGTGCCACCTTGGAGCTGTGCCGCAGTGTAGCTGTGCCGTAGTGGAGCTGTGCCGTTGTGCCGCCGTCTCGCTGTGCCGCAGTGGAGCTGTGTCGTTGTGCCGTAGAGTAGCTGTGCAGCAGTGAGGTTGCACGATGGCGGACGCCCTCCCGCGCCTGGACGCCGAGGGGCACGCGATCGACTTCGCCTCGTGGCTTGTCGATCTTCACCGTCATCTGACAGGTCAGCGACATGATGGGCACTCCCTGATTATGCATGTTGATGGCTTGCTCCCCCAAAAACCTGAGCCTGTGCCCCTCCCTGATGATCCCTCCACGGCTGAGCGTGAGGCTTTCTCTGCAGCTGTACTTGCCCGCGCTGTCTGGGATTCCCGCGATGCAGTTGCACAGCTCGCCATTAGCCATGCACTTCCCCTGTCTGAGCGCCCGTGCTTCACGACTATCGCTAACGCCAAAGATTTCCTAGATGCTGTAGTCGCACGCTACTCCACGCCCGCCTCTGCCACTGCTAGTCGCCTTCTCCTCCCCATGTTGTTCCCCGACCTTGCTGCCTTTCCCACTGTTGCTGACCTTGCCACTCACCTCCGTGCCCTAGAGACTAGCTACCGTGCTGGTAGCACTGCCGCCCAGCTTACTGCCTTCCCCCCACCGTTCTGCGCTACCCTGTACCTTATAGCCATGCGCCTGCCTGACCGCTTAGCCACTGCTCGCGACCACTTCCTTAGCCAGCACCCTGGTGACCTCACACTGACTGCCTTTGTAACTACGCTGTCTGAGATAGAGACTTGCCAGCGCACTATCGCTCAGTCGAGCGGCGTTGCGGCGGTCCCTATCTTTCAGGGCTGTGCTCCCTCTCAGTGTTCGTACGCTGACGTTTCTGCCGCGGTCGCCACAGCTGTCCCCGCCGCTGAGACCGCTGCTGCGGCCTCCTCATAGCAGCATCAGCATTGGGGCCGTCGTGGCCCCAAGGGAGGCCGTGGTGGTGGAGCTGGTGGAGGTAGTAGTGTTGGCGGTGACAGTGTTTCAAGCGAGGGGGTTGGGACTGGTGTCAAGGAGCACTAGCAGCTGCAGCAGACGCCACAGCAGCAGCCGCAGCAGCAGCACCAGCAGCCGCCAACGCAGCCGCAGCAGCAGCAGCAGTAGCAGCAGCCGTCGGCCCGCCTCCCGCCAGGGTGGCCAGGAGCGTCTGGCGGTGGTGATTGCGGTGGCGGCCCTCGCAGCTCGGCGTCTCCCAGTAGCTTCAGTACTCTGATTTGTCAGTACCAGCTTCAGACTGGGCCCGTGCGTGGCACTGTCTGTCGCCGTCCGCACCCGATTGCCCGCTGCTTCCGCCGCCTTGATGACCTCTTTCGTCACCGCTTTGGCCCGGCGCCGGACCTCCCTGACGGACACAGTCTGCTGCGTCACGGTGTGCTTCTGTTTGAGTTAGATATGGATTAGCTTAGTTCTGCCCTGCATTCTCTGTATGCTGACGCTTCTAGTGTGTCTAGACCTTATTATCATGTGTTCTCTAGCTTAGGCGTAGCACCTGTATGTAGTCCAGATTCCCCTGCTGCGTCAGGCGTATGACCGTTTGCTTTGTCTAGTCTAGGCTCCAGCTCTGCCCTCGTCTGCTGCTACTGCTTCACTGTCCTTCACACTTGACTCTGGCGTGTCTGCCTGCTTCTTCCGCGACCATACTACGCTCACGCCACAAGCCGTCCCTGCTGCCGTCGCTCTTGCTGACCCCTCGTCTGGTCCTGTCATTGCCCGTAGTTACACTACCCTTCCCTATCCAACGGTCCCCTCGGGTTCCCTTACAAGCCTATACATCCCTTCATTCTCCAGGAACTTAGTTGGTGTCAGCTGTCTTCAGGACCTCAGCGTCACCACTACGTTTCCTGGTCACGAGCGGTTTGCTGTCTGTATCGAGACCGCCTCAAGTACCCCCCTTGAACGTTCCCCCGGGACCCGGTGTCTGGCCTCTTTATGCTGGACACTGCTTTTCCCCCGGTTGACGCGTCCTCCCCGTCCCCTGCGTCTACCCAGGTCGCTGCTGCTTGCACGTATCGATCGCTCAATCACCCGTCGCTCCTCTGGCACCACCGCCTAGGTCACCCTGCACTCCCGCGTCCATGTCACATGTCTCAGCACGGTCTCGTTCTAGTTCTTAAATGTTTTGCGCTGTACTTCTTCAAAACTACTAATCCGTCATGACGCTCCTCTTAGTCTCACGCCCCTCTCCCCTCCTCGTGCTTCTTCTTACCACTGCCATTGCAACAAGCACGCTCACCCCTCGCGTTGCAGCGATCACCCCATCGGTTTTGTTCGGCGGGTATACAGAGTACGCGAACGGAACGGCTGTGGACGCCAGTGGTGCCGTTGTAACTCCCACCCAGAATGCAGATGGATCTGAAACCCTAGGAGCGTACACATCGTACCCTAATGGCACGGTTGTTGGTCCCAACGGCGTGATCAGCTCCACACGGCCCGACGGAAGCACAGTTATTGGCACCACGACCTTGTACCCGAATGGCACCTTTGCCGATGCCTGTGGCAAGACTCTCATGCCTGTTCGTAACGCGGATGGGTCGATGACTGTGGGAGACGTGACTGTGTGGAGTAATGGTACTGTCACTGTCATCCCCACTGGGGGCAAGTCAGCTTGTACGGTGATTTTCTCCCCTGTTTTACACTCCCCCTTTTCTTCCGTTGTTCTAGGGTCCTCTGTCTAGTCTCTGCCATTTTTGTTTCCTAATCTTCTGTCTCATCTGCCGTCTGATTATCACGTAAGAATTAATGGTCGTTTCATGCCATGCTTCTCCCCTAGCAGGCTACCTTGCGTCACCTGCCGGTTCTGTCACTGCCATCACCGTGGTTGCTGGTTTCGCTTTGCTGCTTGTTTAGAAGGCGCAAGTGCATGGTAACATAAGTGTATATGTTGCTTGATTTGCATGAGTACATTCTCAATATTAAATATATATGTGTAGATGCACAGCATATCGCTTGTTGAAATCCCCAACCATCGGGAACCACGGGGTGTGGTGCCAACTTCTCGCGAGTCGGCTCAGCCATGGCGATGTTACTGTTGCAGGAGATTTGTTCACATGTTTCCTTGCTTCTCGCGAACTTGGAGGATTACGACGAGTCAGTCATCGCGAATCGTTACTTGAGGAAGTGCTCGCGGTTCCAGAACAACTTACGCCTTGCACCGTTGCCTTCGTGACGCAGTCGACTTGTAACAACCCTTGCCCTTATATCATGGGCAACAAGGATTGAAGTCAAAACCCAATATCCAAGATCCTAGGATATAATAATGGAGTACAAAGTCAAATAACGATCCCCTAGCGTGGTATTTACGAGGAACCTCCTCTAAGAGATAGCTTGAGCTTGAGGGAGGCCCTTGAACAATAGTGTTTGAGGCTCTGGTTGGGTAGGGCTTCTCCTAGGAGATCACACTAGAAGCTAATAGTGTAGGAAGGCTTGTGAGGAGAGCTCTTGACTTAGAAAAAAATCCCATTTCATGATTGATTTCTTGGAGTGGGAAGTTGAGAATGAGCTTCTCAGCCCAGACCCCCTTCCAATGACTCCCAGCAGCTGCTCAACCTCCTCCATGGCTCCAAGGAGGTGAGCTAGCTTATGTGGCAAAGGGTTGGATTTTCAACCAATGAGAGGTTTACAACAATGTATTCAGATTAGCATATAGTGTACAGCATAGGAATATTTGAGTTGAATTGGCATTGCCAACCAACTCCCTGATTCTGATTGGACGCAAATCCAACCATCGCGTGAGTTGGGAATTTCGCCAACTCAATTTGTACAACTAAAATCTGATTGGTCCCAAGTATCGACCAATCCCAATCCTCCCCTCCCAACCCTTCCTTCCCATTTCGCGCTACCTAGCATAGGTAGCCAATTTCTGGAAGGCAGTTGGGACGGTCGTTTCTAGGCCCGCATACTGTGCAGAGGCCATGCGTTACACTCCTCCCCCTCCAGGTGGCAACGTCCTCGTTGCCGTAGAGTGCTTCTCGGGACGGGTGCTTCGAGCGCGCCAAATTACATTACGACCAGGGTCAACACTATCCACTGGTTGTGAGGCTGCTCTTTGAGCCAGGTCTTCTAGATATACGTGAACCGCATTTTCGGTCAAATGTTCCTCTGGCTCCCATAAGTTGTGTTCAGGCCCATAGCCTTTCCACTTAATACGGAACTCGCGTACTGTCTTGCGGATGCGCTATCGATCACGGTGCATGAGCACACGCTCGACCTCATAAAAGAGTTCCTCTCCAAGGACGATCGTTGGCGGAGGTAAGTACTTGCCTTCAGCAATGTACTTATTGAGCAGAGACACGTGGAAGACATTGTGAATCTGCAATGTTTCGGGTAACTTCAACTTGTAAGCTACCACACCAACACTGGATCACCTCGAACGGCCCAATCCATCGAGGGAACAACTTTCGTGCCCCATGGATTTTGAGACGAATGTTCATCGTGCTCAATAATACCTTGTCTCCAACCTCGAAAGAGACTTCCCGGCGTTTCATGTCGGCATAAGACTTTTGTCGCTGCTGAGACAGCTGCAGCCAGCGGCGAGCAGACTTGAGCGCTTCTTGCTGCTTGCCCTCAAAGTCTTTCGCGGCAGGGACTCGCAGTCCGCCTATCCCATGCGTAGCAGGTGTCGTGGGATGCCGACCACAGTTCAGAATGAAGGGTTTTTCATGGGTACCTTCATGGACAGAATTGTTCACTGCGAACTCAACCACAGGTAACAAGTCATCCCAATCATCCTGAGTTGGGCCAATGAATGAACGAAGGATCTGCTCAAGAGTACGATTCGTCCGCTCTGTTTGCCCATCCGTTTGGGGATGGAAGGCTGACGACATCTTTAGCTTCGTTCCGAGTGTCCGTGTAACTTCGTGCCAGAACCGGCTTGTAAAGCGCGGATCTCGATCGGACACCAGCACACGCGGTAACCCGTGTAAGCGGAAAACGTGTGCTACAAACAACTTGGCCGTATCTTCCGCAGATACGTATGTTGTGGTAGCAACGAAGTGCACCATTTTGGTCAATCGATCCACAAAGACCAAGATCGCAGTATGACCGTCGCGTGTTTTTGGGAGGTCTGTGATGAAATCCAGTGAGACACTCTCCCAAGTTTTGTCTGGAATCTCCAGTGGTTGAAGCAAACCACCGGGCTTTTTCGTGTCTAACTTGTTGCGTACGCATTTAACACAACGCAACGGGACCTCAGTCCCCAATCCAGGCCACCAGTACACATCACTTAAGGCCCACCGGGTTTTCTTGATACCCAGATGTCCCCCGTATTTGGTGCTATGCACTTCCTCAATTATATCATTCCGCAGGTTACCCACATGGGGTACCACAATCTCTTTCTCTCGCCACCAGAGTTCATGCTCGTACTTGAGGCCCTTTGTATTTTGTGGGTTCTTGAACCAGGAGTCAATATGATATCCTGTGCGAATGCATTTCAGAAAACCACTGAAGGTGACCTCAATCACTCGAGCCACGGCAAGAATACCGAAACAAGCAGCAACCACCGCCTTATCCTCGGTTTCATCAAGCCCAATCGCTGCCCCTATCGGCTGTCTGCTGAGGGGGTCAGCCATGTTCGTAGAACCTACACGATATCAAATATCGAATGTGAAACCACTAAGGAGTTCAGCCCAGCGGGCTTGGCGTCGAGTGAGCGTAGCTTGAGTAGAGAAATAGGTGTTTGGACAGTGGTCATTCGTGACCACAAACTCCACATCTTCTAGATAACATCGCCGTGTTCGCAGCGCATGCACGACCGCCAGCAACTCTTGTTCTGACGTCGTGTAGCGCTGCTCTGCCAGGGAGAGCTTCCTACTCTCAAATGCCATTAGACGGCCCTCCTGCAAGAGTACCACCCCAATCCCTACTGTCGAGGCGTCTGTGACCACCTCATAGGGTTTAGAAGGGTCTGGCAATACCAAAACCGGAGCATTGGTCAGCTTTGTTTTGACTTTGTCAAATGCTTCTTGGCATTGTCGAGTCCACTCCCATGCACTACCCTTTCGGGTGAGTGCTGTCAGAGGGGCAACGACAGTCGAGTAATTTTCCAAGAACCGGCGGAAATAATTGGCAAGGCATAGGAAGGACCTGATCTGGCCCACGTTTTGTGGGACGAGCCAATTTTGAACAGCCACCACCTTCTTGGGGTCGACTTTAAGTCTATTGTTCCCAACGAGATAACCGAGATATTCCAACTTGCGTTTATAGAAATGGCATTTCCATAAACGAGCATAGAACTTGTGTTCTCGCAACTTCCCTAACACCCATTTTAGGTGTTGAGCGTGCTCCTCTTCAGTCTTGGAATAAACCAAGATGTTGTCAAGGTAAACCAGAACGAAGTGCCCGATAGCTTCGCGAAACACATCGTTCATGACCCTTTGAAAAGAGGCCGGAGCATTGGTCAAGCCAAAGCCTAGCACACGCCATTGAAAACGGTTGAACGGCGAACGTAACGCCGTCTTGGGAACATCTTCCTCAGTGATGCGCAGTTGGTGGTACCCTTGTGCCAGATCCAACGCGCTAAACCACTGAGCACCCTGGAGTCGATCGAATAGGTCTTCTATCGTTAGAAGAGGATATATGTTCTTGATCATGATCTTGTTTAAGGCGCGGTAGTCGACGCACATGCGTAAGCCACCACCCTTCTTGTTAACGAACAAGATTGGTGCTCCATATGGTGATGCATTTGGCTCAATCCATCCCTTCCTAAGGTACTCCTCAATCTGTTGTTTAGCCTCCTCGTACTCAGCTGGACTGAGGCGATACAGAGGTCGAAACGCTGGGAGCTTTCCAGGCTCCACAGAGATGGTGTGGCCCACGGCGTGGTCAGGAGGGAGGCCGTCTGGAATAGCCTCAAAAACCTCCTTAAATTCATCCGCCGGTACCTTCATCTGAGGTGGAAAATCCTCAAGGTCTGGCGTCGGGGTTCCAGCTTCCTCGAGCTGTACGAGGAAAAGTGTGTTAGCAATGCGTTAATGCTGTCCGAATTGACATACAAGAGCAAAGCACACGTCTGGACTTTTCTTAATTTGAACCACCGGGATGGTTGTGTCGACAGACACCTGCCACTGGATTGGTTCACCATTCTTGGTGAAAGAAACTGTGTTATCCTGGAAATCTAGAATAACCTCATTTGCACGTAACCAATCCATTCCCAAGACTACGTCGACACCCGCAAGCAAGGGGAGGACGTAAGTGCGAATCTTTTCGCTGTAGCCTTGGATTTCCATGTCGATCATTGTCCGTCCTTTGCTTGGGATAAGACTATCGTCACCAAGATGAATGGGACATGACGGTCCTTCAACGAGGACCCCAAGCGGTGTGACCCACTTTTTATCAAAGAGGGAAACAGTGGCACCTGTATCGACAAGAATTTTCGCGCTATGTCCGTTAACGCGACCCGAAAGGAGTAGATTTTGTTGATGCATTGGGTGGATGGGGCATGCCACAATGTTCAACGAGGGTTTGTAGTACACCTTGACATTGTGGCGGGCTCGTCCAAAGGATTCAGATTTGGTCCACCACACATGGTGTCCCTTGTCCAAAGACGCCAGCACAACCCATCCACGAAGCGATTTGAACGTTTCGCCCTTTACTGTACGAGTCACCACGGCGACCGCAGTCAGGGGGTGCTCTTGAGTACAACGACTCACAACATCGAGTACAGAAGGCAATGTTTCCAGGCCACAGTAAACGACTAAGAATTTATCTCGTAACGCTTCGATGGATATAGCATCAAGTGGGTATGATCGAAGTGCAAACATTAATTTTTAATTAAACGAAGAGGCAAACAAACAAGAGATTTTGCATTCAGCAAGCTTCTCTAGCTTTAGTAATCATCGTCACATAAAGCATATGCCTCATCCCCTCGATCTATCTGACCAACTAGGTACCCGCACCCTAGTTGGACTTCTGAAAATCCTTCTTACTGCCAGAAGGTCCTTCGTCGCCATTGTTGTTGCCCTTAGGCTTACCACTATGCTTTATGATATTCCTATAGCGGCACTGAAATTCCATGTGACCACGGCGGCCACACCCTCGGCAGACATTAGAGAAGTCCCTTGGCGGCCCTTTGTAACTGCCACCATTCGCCCTCTTAGCCGGAGGACGCTGCTGGTTACCATTCTGGTGGAAGGGCCTCTTGTACCCATGGCCCTTCCCCTTGGAATTCCACTGGCCACCACCACCATTGCCACCATCACCCCTCGCCTGAGTCCTCAACTCAGGCTGGTCGGTGGAAGGCATTACTAGCATACGAACAGTCTCGTCCGTTGCTTGAACCGCCTCTTTGAGCTCCTTGTAGGTGCTCCATTTATTGAGGCCATTTGCGACATGCTTATCCTGCAGGGACTGGGGCAAGTTCTGGAAGAAGATATAAATGACTTCATTCTCAGACAGCTGCTTGCCCAGCAGTCGCAGAACGCTCTCAAACTCTTGTGCATATTTCTGCCCTGAGCGATCGCCGCACTTTATGTTTTCAAGGCGACGACGCACCTCCATGCCAGTTGAGTTGACAAGAAAAGCCGCTTTCATTGCAGCACAGAACTCGTCCCAAGTGAAAAACTTTCCACTTGCTTCGAGCTGCTTCCAGCTAGCAAACATGGTTTGGCTAGGATGCTCATCCAACGCACCAGAGACGGCAGTGACACGAGCATTAGAACGCACATTGTGGAGAGTTACACTGACGGAAAGAATTGTCCACCTGTTTGGCAATTTTTTGAATTTCCACCGTTAAAGGGCATTTGTACATTAAGCCCTAATTGGAGGCATTACCCACTATATGCAAGCCAATCTAGGGACACAAAAAAATGCTACACATTTGATGAAACTACTATCATTAACAGTAAAATGCAAACATAACCAATCACGGTGCATGTGGACAATTAGTTCCAGGCAGAAGCAGCAACTTGAACAACCCTTAAACTAGTACCTGGTCCACCGCCCTTTAGCCCTAATCACTGCTTTCACCCTCCTGGGCATGCTGTCGATCGAATTGGAGCACACCTCTGATGGGATCTTCTCCCACTCCTCTTGTACACGCTCCCACAGGTCCACCATGCCAGTGGGAGGTGTCTCATGCTTTCCCAGCTCCCTTTTAAGATGAGCCCAAAGATGCTCAATGGGGTTTAGATCAGGACTTCCTGCCGACCACTCCAGGACCCCATACTCCTGCTCCTGAAGCCACTGCTGCACCACACGGGACTTATGCTTGGGGTCGTTATCATGCTGGAAGATCACATCCGAGGGGGTAAGCTTGTAAAAGTCGATGGTTTTCTTCAGCTCGTCTTGCAAAATGCTCAGATACAGCGGCCCGTCCATCCGACCATCAATTTTGCACATGAAACCCGCCCCCTCAAACGTCATACATCCCCAGATCATCAAGCCGCCGCCCCCGTGTTTGACGGTTTGCTTGATCTGGTGGTGTTGGAGAGTCGTACCTTCATGAACCCAGGCGTACGCGCGGCCGTCAGAGCAGAACCTACTAATCCTAGTCTCATCCGACCATATGACCCGTCGCCAATCATCTATGGTCCAATCCGCGTGGGCCCGTGCGAACGCCAGCCTATCGCGGATATTTTTCTTGGAGAGTCGCGCTTCTTAGGCTGCTGAACTGCGATAAGGCTGCTGGATTTGAGCGCATTACGCACCGTCCTAGGATGCACCGTGATGCCGTGCTGGGATTCGACGATCTGGGCCGCATGCCTTGAGGTTTTCGCCTCGTCGCTAGTGATCGCCCTGACGATCCCACGACGAATTCTATTCGTCAGTACGCGTGGACAACCAGCAGTGGGCATTGTAGGACGTACGTCCTCAAGACTAGTCTCTGAAATCGCCTTGAGCCCGACATCATGTACTGTACTTTTCCCAACGCCAACCTGATTCGCGATTTGCCTCGTGCTGTACCCCCTACGCAACAGGGCTATGATCCGGGTGCGACGAGCCTCATCTATCGGTCTCATCTTGGCGTAGTCTACGCCTCGGGTATAAACTCTATTCTGACTAATCGACGATTGCGTTAGGAACTATGGAGAGAATGCGCTAGTCGAAAACGGATCTAGTCCGCTGCTTGGCCGAAACTGTCCAGATGCACTCACGCGACTGAAATCTTGTCCACGCTATTAGTGCGACCACTTCAAATTGCAAACGTGTTACCCTATTGCAACTGGCACTCGTTACTTACTAGTCAGCTTTGAAGATTCATTGATACATCGGTTGAAAGCATTCAAATCATTTGTTGAACCTAAAATTGGACTTTATCCGGGCAATACTTTCCGTCAGTGTAGCATTTCATCCACAGTTGTCACCCAAATCTCAACATCCGTCTTGCCATGATGAATTTGGGAGCGCAGTGGGGAGCGAGCCAAAAGGTGTTGCCATGGGCTGGACAGGCTGCTGAGGTGCTGCAGTTGAAGGAGATGCAACAGGCGGCGGGTGTGGATTGGGTGCCCGATGGGCCAGCAGTAGCGGGTGAGTGTTGGTAGATAGGACCCCGCCGAATATCCCTGTACTG